GCGCTGTATAATGTATTATTGCTGGGTTTTCTAGTCTTCTACACAGTGCAATGCAGAATACCACTAGCTATAGAGGAATACAACAAATCCCAGCAATACATTTATACATACAGTGTATAATGTATTGCTGGGATTTGTATTCCTCTATAGCTGATGGTGCATTGCTCTGTATAATATACAGCGCAATACACCATCAGCTATAGAGGAATACAACAAATCCCAGCAATACATTATAGAGCACCATGTGGGAAAGTGCAGGCTTACCTGAGCAGTCTTCCGGCAACTTTGTTTCTGAGATCAGGCCTTTCTATCGGCGGCTGTCATCCGCCCACACCTGCTCCTCCTTACTTCTTCTCCGTGTCCCTGTGCCGATCGTGGATTTGGGCGGGTGGTGAGCGTGAGGAGGTGAGGCGTGTGGAGCGTGGATGCAGGTGGGCGGGTCTGGCAGCGGCGAGCGGGAGGTGGGGAGGAGGTGCGGCGCGCAGTGTGTGTGTAGCCGTGAACAGGGCCAACCAATCGGAAGCCGATTAATCGATGATTGAAAAAGTTGACAACTTTTTCAATAATCGATTATAATCGATTATGTCGATTAGTTGTTGCAGCCCTAAATTACATTAACTGATGGTTTGATAAATTGCAGCAGCTGGGTGACCAGTGCATTTAAAAAATAATTGCAGTGCCCTTTTTAAAAAAAACAAAAACATTTCTGTTCAGGAAAAGTCTTGCCAGAAGATGAAGAAACCTGTTAACGTCAGTGCTGGCTCCCATAGGAATGGCCCTAAGTTGGACTTCAGCATGGGGTGGAGCTATAGCCAGCACCTACAGAACTAAAAAACTGCATTTCTCTTCCATTCTTGAAGGACACGGAACAGATCGGAGATCATGTACTGTAGGGTAATATCGCCACCTGCAGGAGAAGGACGCTAGGCACAAAGCTAAAGACCAATTACAGCCTAGGGGCAGCCCCTGCTGGTGGCCAAACCCCCCACCTGCTGACAAGTCTCAAGTTTTTTGCCTAGCGTCAGGAATAAGGAGCTAAGAATTTTTTCTTGGGTATTTTTTTTTTTTTAATTCGTTTATTGTCTGAACAAGTACAATATACACATATTGCAAGTATAAGTACAAAAAGACATGGCACACAATTACATTGTTCGCAGACTTGGAACGTTCCATAAGCTGTGATTTTCCCTTGGAGTCCATATAGCTTTTGTATTGGTATCAATATCTGACCACGTTACCCTAAATGACCGGTGTCCTTGAGGAAAACGATAAAGTTAGGTAGTAAAGTATGCCGTGTGGCCATATCATATACGTATAGGAGAAGTGGGTACTTTCTTGGGAATTCTTACCTGCTTCTTCCTGATATTTTTCAGAGGAAATCTTCTAGCAAGTGTTGTCAGGTGGTCGACTATCCGCTTTTGCATGCAGGTCCTGGGCCTCATGGTGGCTTCCTTCGAAGCAGTGCCTTACGCGCAGCATCACACACAGGTTCTGCAGAGGACCATCTTGTCACTGTGGGACAAGTCCCCCTTGTCGCTGGACCAGGCGGTTCAGGTGTCTCGGGAGGCGAGGGACTCCCTGGTCTGGTGGCTTCAGTCCCCGTCTCTGGTGTTGGGCAAGTCCTTCCTTCCCATTCACTGAACGGTGGTCACCACGGATGCCAGCCTCTTGGGCTGGGGGGGCGTCCTGGACGTTTGGACAACTTAGGGCCGTTGGTCGTTGGAGTCTCGGCTCTCGATCAACGTGCTGGAACTTCGGGCGATCCGACTCTCTCTTCTTCATTGGACGGGCCGTCTTCAGGGGCGGCCGGTCCGGGTTCAGTCGGACAACGCCACGACCGTGGCTTACGTCAACCATCAGGGCGGCACAAGAAGTGTGGCCGCAGCTCGGGAAGTGGAGAGAATCCTCTCTTGGACGGAGGAGCATGTTCCGGCTCTCTCCGCCGTGTACATTCCGGGCGTGGAAAATTGGCAGGCCGACTATCTCAGTCGCCAGTCGGTGGATCCGGGGGAATGGATGCTACATCCGGAGGTGTTTCATCAGCTTTGCCTTCGCTGGGGGTTCTCGGCCGTGGATCTCCTGGTGTCTCACCTCAATCTGCCGGACACAGGATCCTTGGGCGGAAGAGGTGGACGCCCTGGTGGCGCAGTGGAATTGCTAGGGTCTGATTTACGCGTTCCCTCCGCTATATCTGTTGCCGCGTCGTCTTCGCGGGGTCGCGGTAGAAGGCATCCCGGTCATCCTCGTGGCTCCGGATTGGCCGAGGAGGGCGTGGTACGCAGATGTGGTTCGGTTGGTGGCGGACGTCCCCTGGCGCCTGCCGCTTCGTCCGGATCTTCTATCTCAGGGTCCGGTGTTTCATACGTCTTTACCGACGCTGGCTTTGACAGCGTGGCTGTTGAGAGCCAGGTGTTGAGGGATCGTGGTCTCTCGGATGCGGTTATCTCTACGATTTTGCATGCTCCCAAACCCGTGTCCCGAAAGATTAACCATCGGACGTGGAAGGCTTATTTTGCCTGGTGTGAGTCGGGTGGGTTTCCGCCTCGTTTGTTTTCCGGGTCCAGGATCCTCGCTTTTTTGCAGCGTGGTGTGGATCAGGGTTTGGCCTTGAGTACGATCAAGGGCCAGGTTTCGGCTTTGACTGTCCTCTTTCAGCGGCCGATAGCCTCCAACAAACTTGGTTCCCACTTTTGTACAGGGGGTTACACGTATTGTTCCTCCTGTTCGCTCCCCGTTACCGCCGTGGGATTTGAATTTTGTGCTCTCGGTTTTGCAGGAATCTCCCTTTGAGCCCCTGCGTGAGATTCCGATTCTGACTCTGTCTCAAAAGGTGGCCTTTTTGGTGGCGGTCACCTCGGTCCGCAGGGTTTCGGAATTGGCGGCCCTCTCTTGCTCGTCCCCGTTGCTGGTCCTGCATCGGGACAAGGTGGTTCTGCGGCCTCGGCCGTCCTCTTTGCCGTAGGTGGTTTCGGCTTTCCATCTCCTTGTGTCCGAAGCCTGTCCACAGGAAGGAGAAGGTGCTGCACTGTCTGGATGTGGTCCCCGCCATCCGTGCTTCGTTTTCGGGAATCGGATTCCCTGTTTGTCGTCGTAGATGGCCCTCGGAAGGGCCGGGCTGCCTCGTCGGCCACCATCTCTCGATGGATTCGCAACACGGTCTCTCAGGCGTATGCTATTAAGGGGCGTGAGCCTCCTTTTTCTGTTATGGCCCATTCTACAAGGGCTGTTGGGGCATCTTGGGCTTTTCGTCATGGTGTCTCAGGTCTGTAAGGCCGCGACTTAGTCTTCTGTTCACACCTTTGCCAAGTTCTATAAGCTGGATGTTTTGGCATCTGCGGATGCTGGTTTGGGGCGCAAAGTGTTGCAGGTGGCCGTTTGAGGGGATATTTTGTTCAGTTGGGTTTGTTGTTTCTGTTGGCCCACCCCTCTTTTTGGTACTGCTCTGTGACATCCCTACAGTACATGATCTCCGATCTGTTCCCTGTGTCCTTCAATGAACAGAAGAGAAAATAGGATTTTGGTACTCACCGTAAAATCCTTTTCTCTCCGTTCATTGAAGGACACGGGTCCCGCCCCTCTGTGTGGGTATGTACTCCTAACTGCTTGTTACTAACTGGAGACTTGTCAGCAGGTGGGGGTTTGGCCACCAGCAGGGGCCGCCCCTAGTCTGTAATTGGTCTTTAGTTTTGTGCCTTGCGTCCTTCTCCTGCAGGTGGCGATATTACCCTACAGTACATGATCTCCGATCTGTTCCCTGTGTCCATCAATGAACAGAGAGAAAAGGATTTTAAGGTGAGTACCAAAATCCTATTTTTACTTAAAAACCCCTGCACAGGTTTGAATGGTACCCAGTGTGATCTGCACTGGGTTCCCTGGGAAAGCGTTAACAAACATTTTCATCTTCTGGAGAGACTTCTTTAACCCCTTCATGACTGAGCTAGTTTTCAGTTTCTGTTCATAAATGACTGACACACTTTTTTTAAAATTTTTGCTGTGTGATTCTTCCACGGCAGTAATATACTTCCTTACTAAATGTACCTACACATAATATATATTGTTTTTTAGAGGACAGATATGGCTATATAATTATATCAAACATGTGTACCTAACGCCTCACTTTGAATAAAATATTAAAAAAATGAGGAAAAACCATAAAGAAAACAACACTTTTTTTCACAAGTTTTTTTGTCAGTTTATATCAAGCAGTCACTATGACTGCTTGATAAATTAACTTTTATTTATTTTTGGTTATTATTAGGCTGCTCCAAACTTAGGAACAGCTAATAATAACCTTAGAGATTGATCCTGACAGCATGTCAGAATCAGATCTCACTAAAGTTCTTTGATCCTGCTCAGAGGATCAGAAATAATAAATTTCAGGCACAGAGATACATTGTAACACTGTGCCTGAAATGTATCATGAACATGGGCCAGTCTATGGAGCTGTCAAAACGAATAGCAGAGAGGTGAGTCACTTTGCTACCTCTCTGCTATCTTCAGCTGTCAAATACGGGATCGCTATTCAGCATTCCGGTATTTGTATGCAACTGCTCCATTCTTTCATTAATGAAAGAAAGAGGCTTTTACAAAAGCTTAACTATTTAATTAATGAATGCCTCAATACTGAGGTATTCATTAATGAATGGTAACCGCTGAGAATCAGCGGTTACCGACATTACAGAGCCTTAAATAACTTGTCACGTACAGTGTACGTGGCCAGTCATATAGGCACTTCGTGGCGGGACGTACAGTGCACGTCTCCCGTCACGAAGGGGTTAAGCAGGCTACATACATTACAATCTATTTAACATTTACCAACAATCATGTAGTTCAAGACCCTACCTAAACAATCATTCAATATATCCAGTCATATAGACTATATACAGTCATTTAAACTGCATAGTTTGTAGATTTTGCTAATCCAGTTGATCAGATATGACTCTATCGCTGAAATCAAACTGTAAACAAAATGTTCATGCAAAGAAGATAGCAAATACTCACCACTTCTGGTCCCTTTGCTACTGCACGCTGCTCTATTGAAAAGGAATTGCTGCCTGAAGACCCTCCAGAAGCTAACACTTCCTGGAGTGTCAGTTTTCTGGTTCCCCACTGTGCACTGTGGTTCATCCTACTGATCCCTGCTTTACTACTGTGTTCTGTATTCCTGTATTGATGTAGGTGTCTTTTTTGCAAGGAAATTTTTTTAATTTTGCTGTCTGAGTCTCTTTAATATCAGTGGAAATACGTACCCATAATTTGACTTACTAGTGTTTCAGTTCTTCATGAATTTTACCATCTATATATTTAATACCTAATAGTTAAAAATAATAAATATATTTAATAATGCTTCAAACTAAACGGTACTGAGCAATAAAGCACCACAAAATGTGTTCATATTAGCAGATGAACAGAAAGTTGAAGGGGCTCCTCATTGCTATTAAGCAGGTTCCTCTTGGTGTCTTGCTCCAACATTATAACATATAGTTGCAATGTATGTAAACACATAAGATGTATGTATTTCAAGGCATGATTTTCACAATTTGAGTGAAGTGGATATTCCTGAACATGTTGTATTCTGGTGCCATCCAATGTTCATTGTACGGAACGGAACCTTTCTTTTTTTGCCTGAAAGCAAGTTGTGAAAACAATCATAAGCATCACAATACTTTTTGTTGCTTTAGTGCTTTTGTTTGTTATGTGAAAAGCGTGTAATATATTAGTCAGTTCTTTGCAGATGCATAGCATGTGACAATTAATCACAGTTGCGCAGTGTATAATTTGGATACACTGTATATATATGAAGGCTTTGAGAATTAGATCTTGTAACATGTGTCTTTAAATGTCTTAACTTTTATTATCTGTCTTCATTAAGA